AGATTTGAGAGAAGTCTCGAGCCCTGTGTGTGAGCCAGAATTAGCCTTTCTGCTCTACCCCGGTTACGCTGCTCTTGTTTTCTAAAGTTACGATTGTTTCTGTGACTAAGAATGGGAAAATTATGTTTAGTCCAATCTGGCTTCAATCCATTACACACTGATTAATACAAACGTAATTACACAGGGAGGATAATGTAGAAAGATCAATTAGAGAGCAAGGGGCAAATGAAGGAGGGAGGCAATTAATTAGGGCTATACTACAGCAGATAATGATAAGAGAAAAATTGTAATAGAATAGATCTATTGGCCAAAATCCTTCGTACTCCTAAATCCAGGGGTGCACAAACAGTTCCTTAGAGCTCTGACATGAAACACAGAGACTCTGAGCACAGCACCACTCCTAAACTATCCTGTTCTGGCAAGATCTTATCTGTTAGGGAATCTCTGTAAAAAAAAAAATAAAAATAAACTAACACTGTGCCTGTCAGCTGCTGAACTGGCTGAAGAAAGAAGTTAATGGGGTGGAAGATGATCAACTGACCAAGGCTGGGCGCAATTAATTAGTTACACTTTCAAAACCTTGGTAGTGGTTCAGATTTTGGAGGGCGATGCGAGGCCCTGCTTGGCCAAGCTGTGCTGTAGCCCCGTGTGTCTGCCCCGACTTCAGCCCCCAGGGCCAGGCTGGTGGCAGTTGGCTGTGAATTGGTGGCAGCCTGGTGCTCGCTTTCCCACCATCGCTCTTAATGCTCCGCTGACTCTTCCTGAATTAATGTTATTTCATTGAACCCTGCCCTTGGGGATAAAGCGATGCTTAAAATAACGCCGTCCCCCATCTTCCTGATGATGATCTGACTAGGCCAGTCATCGAGGCTTTAAATCAACAGCTGTGTAAGTGACACCAGAAGATGGCATCATCTGCCTGTGATGCTCTTTAACTCTTTCTGGACCTTCCTAGATAAAGGTGGTGGTTTTTTGACAGTAGACATGTTCTCCCTCACAGTGAAATTGGGTGTGGAGGCTTTCTGTTTCAGTGTTGTGTATGTATTTAATTTTTTTAGTGAAATTGTTTTGTTTTTTTTTTTGTTCAGTTGTTTGGGATTTTAAATTGGAAGAAAAAAGATTCAGATTAGATCTCAGGAAGAAATTTTTTACTCTGAGGCTGGTGAGACACTGGAACGGGTTGCCCCTGGAAGTTGTGGATGCCCCATCCCTGGAGGGGTTCAAGGCCAGGCTGGATGGGGCCTTGAGCAACCTGGTCTGGTGGGAGGTGTCCCTGCCCAGGGCAGGGGGGTTGGAACTGGATGATCTTTGAGGTCCCTTCCAACCCAAACCATTCTATGATTCTATGATTTTTATGACTGCTTTACAGCTTCCTATAGTTAAGACTTCCTCCCTCCCCAAGTTACAATCCTTTTATTTGGGTTATTTATTACAGAAAGGACTGTAACTTGGAAAAATATTTTGGGTATTGAATAAGCAACTAAAACATTTTGCTGTGTTATACAAAGTGGCAAAAATCGATTTGTTTACTTTTTGCAAACCCCTTATTTATAGGTGGTTTAACATGATATATATGACTACGCACAATGTGAATAATTTATATGAAGGTTGAGATTTATGTGTGTACTTAACATATTTTATGTGTATACTTCAGAGTAAGCATATACTGAAGTGTTTTGCAAATCAGAAAGAATGACTGCTCTTCAATTCCCTGCTGGTACAGCCCAAACACTTTCTGATGGAGTCCCTTTTGAGTGGCAGTGCTCTAGCTCCAAATCCAACCTTTCTGGATTGTGGAAGTGTGAGGAAGGAGCCCCTGTAGCCCCTGATCACCAGAGAAATCTTTACCTGTTCTGATCAAAGGACGTGTTCCTTCCAGGATACTCATCTTGGGTGACCAAGGGCGTCGGTTATGCAGATCCTACACATTTTCCTATTAAATTTTCCTTTGCCTGGACAAATGGTCTTGCAGCTCAGTCTCCCCTGAGCTATGGATGTGTGTCCTTGCTTCTGGTGATGCAGATTGGATTGTTTCTGTATCTTGGCTCCTCCTAGCTGCCTTCTCAGCACTCATTAGCTTGTTTTGTTGTCTATTCTTCAGTCTTTGGCTTCCTTTCTTTGTTTATTTTTATTCCTGTTGAACACTTTATGCTCTGGCTTTGTAAACTTTTCCCCTGATGCACTCCTAACAGTGTTTTTTTTGGTGTCTCTGGGACATGATACATCAGTGACATTTGAAATTGCTTTTTGTCTTGGGGATCCCAATGCTGTTGGTACCTTCTGCAAGAAATCCTTTACTACCACTTCACCCGTAGAGGTATCTCAGCACTGATGACACAGGCATATCATCAAATTTCATCTCGATGGCCACTGCTGAGACACCAGGATCGATGGAGCCTACATTAAAGCCTCTCTCCCTGCTGATAAGATGCTCCCCTGGCTAGTTCTGGTGTCTGATCGTGGCACTGAATTGTTAAAGCCAGCAGAAATTCAAAGTCATCGTTTTCTTTCTCCTGAAGCTCTTTCCCAACTCCGAAGCTCATTCCTGGAGCCCAGAAGCAATGAAAGGAAGCAATGTTGTTCTGGCTTGGCGGATAGGAAATTGGATTTTTCACTTCTGAAATGCTTAGGTGTCTGTTCCCATCTTTTGATCAGAATCCATATTTTGCTGCTTAGAACCTTTATCACGTGCCTGTTTCTGGTTTTCCTGCAGCCTGAACAGGCTGGGTGTATTGGCATTGGTTGTATGGGCATTGAGCATATTACCTGCAGAGAAATGGAATCTTGATGTTCTCTTATGGCTGTCGCTCTTCACTCCAGTCTGCAAGGAGATTTATTGGATCCCCTTTGGAGATCTCTGGCACCCCAGGCTGTTCTGTGAACTGTCCCAGCTGAGATTGGCTCAGTTTGAGAACTTCTTCAGGAACAATCAGAACTGGCTGTCAAACTGTATCTAATCTGCCAGGGTGATTTAAACCGTGGACTTGGTGTCTCGCTGGAGAGCTTGCCCCACGGTTGTAGGAAAATGAGATGACATTAAAGTTTGCCACTTTTTACTTTGGTGGTAGCAAAAGCAAGGAAATTCTGGTGCATTCCGGTGAATTGTAGTTCAAAAAAGCCAAGCAGAAGATAGCTGTAATGGTGTTTCTTGTAAGCCCACCATCTGAAAGAAGCCATGGTATCAAGAATGAAAGAAATTATTGATGATAATGCTTAAGAGTGTATGGGTGTGACTACTTTCTGGTATCTTGATAGTTTATGCTTTTTTTTTTTTTTTTTTGGTGAAGCAGTTTCCCAATAAGCTGTAAATCCTACCTTCCGTCACTGTTGCTGAGGTACCAGGGCACCCACAGCAGCCTGGGAGAAGCTTGCGAGGGGCTTCTGATCCCTCCTGAATCTGGCTGAAAATTGATGTCCCCAGGAGGCTGCTTAACTCGGTAATCTGGTAATAAGTAGTAAAAATAGCAGCTTTGTGACAATATGGTATTGTCTACAATGCAGATAATGCAGTATTGTTTGTGAGAAAATTGTTAAGAAGAGATGGCTCTTCAGTGCATTCTTACTGATTGCAGATTATACCTTCTCTAATAGGAAAATAGAGGTTTGCCTATCTTGCTCCAAAATGAGCTCTCGATAATGGAGAAAAATAAGGATTAATTCATCGAAATGGTTGTCCTTTATGACTAAGCCCCTACTTGTCATGACTTACGAATTTGCTATTCAGGGTAAAAAGCTTGAAACATAAGAGAAATAAAAGGGCTAGATAATTGGTAATCCATGGGAATAAATCACATTATATAATAATGTCTTATCGCATGCTGCACATTGCTAACGCTCCCTGATGTAATTGCTTTTAAGAAGGGCATGAGAGCCTTCGTAAGTAGCCTGCTCTTCGCACATCCACATTGGGTAATGAGGACAACCACTGGGGCTAGAAGAAAGGGAGATCTCCGTAGAAATGCTGAAGAACTGACCGCCGGCATCTTTAATCGTGTGGCTGAGGCTAATTTCATGAAAAACTGGTGCTCTGTTGTGTGGAGGAAACCTGTTCCAGGAGCAGCTGGAGGCTGGGTGCTGTCTCCTGCTTTCCAGAAGACATCACTAGTTGTTGCAAGGAGCGAGGCTGCTTGAAGATATGTGCAGGGGGAAAATGATGGAGGAGGATGAGAAGTCAAGAGGTTGTTTCAGATGACTTTAATCCAGTGACAGGACCTGTCTTGGCACGGGGTTGGGGCAGGAAGATCAATTGCAGGTGTCTTTAGAAGTTGAGGAAAAAACATGGCCATCTCCTTGTCAGAGAGTGGAGGAGGAACAGGTGTAGGTGTAGGAACAGGCTCCAGACTTTTGTCTTTCCCAGATGCTGATTCACCCACTGCAGTGTGCCAAACTTCTTGTAAACGTGACAAGGTCAAAGCCTCACCCAGAAATGGTGTTGCTTCTGCTTTTCCTCACAGAAAAGAAGGGTAATGTCAAGAAGGGAAGCGCTGGCATGGCATCTAGGGAATAAATATCCTTTGACCTGGCTATAGGTCTGGCAAAGGGCAGGTTTACATCCCTCTCTCCTGGTTTCCCCTCATCTTCCCTCAAAGAGCAGCTGCACCTTGAGGTGTGAAAACGGGGCAGCCAAAGCCGGGTGGGGGACAAGATACCTGCTCCCCGGTGAGGGGTTTTGTTTGATACGTGGACAGTGAGAGGGATAGCCCCCGTTAATTACTATAATTAAGGAGGAGGGGGCGGGGAAAGCCGTTGAGGGCTTCCCTTCCCTGCTTGGCTGAGGCGGGGGGGAGCCGTTGGGACCGTTAGGGCGGTTGGAGCCGTTGGCGGCCGCCACCTGCCGCGCGACGGGACTACGCCTCCCGGCATCCCCCGCGCGGCTGCGGCGGAGCCCC